TGACTTAACACTCCTCTGAGTTTTGCAAGGAACGTTTGAAAAATGGCCAAAAGGAGGGAAAGTTCAAAAGGTGGGGTTGGGATGGGAAGTTAGTGTCCGAGTGGATCGAATTCACGATAGCTCAAGTGGTAGAGCAGCTGCGTATCGAGCCGAAGGTCGTGGGTTCGAATCCCGCTCGTGACACTGACTTTTTTATCTCAACCAACACCTTACATAAAAAGAATAATTAAAATGTTTTAAATATTAACACTAGTGCCTTGATGTACCCTGTTGACCGTTTCAGATCATTCTGGTCTGGTCTTGGTCATTTAGCTATCTTCAGTTGTTTTTATTTGTTATTCTCTCAACAGCGTCCTTGTTTTGGCCGATTTGAACATAGATTGCCAGAGAGGATGATCAGATATGGCCCAATCATAAAAACTTTATTGCCCGCCTTACATGGGGCGGCTACGGACGTCTTATAACCGATTACAATATTTTTTTGGTTAAACAACTGGTTTTTTTGCCTGTGGGCTCCAGTTGCAGACAAACATTATTTCAAGTAATTCAAATAACATTTTTAAATGTGGTTTTCTGCCTTCTTTGTTTGTGTATTTCACGGTTATGATATATAAGTCGATTTTTCCCCGTACAAGAAGAATCAAGACATATCAAATTATATTAGTGAAAAACAAGAGCCATTTGGAATGCAATATTTTGAGAAAATCCAAATTTGTTTCCAAAATATTTGTACTCAGTGGTTTTTCATGGTGTGAAAAGCGATTATGAACTTTGTTTCTTGCTCAAAAATAATTTCCTTTTACATTTGTTAAGAGTCCATCCGTGCGCGAGCTTATTCGAGCTACATACTAAATATAATAAGCACATACTTTGTTATGTGACCGAGCGACATAGCAAAGTAGGTAAAATCATTTTTGCTTCTAAGCATTATATTTTAAGCGATATTCGTATTTAACACTCTGAAAAACCTCAGAGTATTGCTTCCTCAAAATATTTCCCTTCTATGTACTCAGATTTTAAAAAATCAGGATTGCCGGGGTTTTGAAGCTTATAAATTACAAATAATAATTTAAATTTGTCCTCGGTAAATCCATTTATAACTGGAGATAAGAAATAAAATGTTTGACGTGTTTTTGTTGATTTCATCCTCAATTTTCTCACGCATACTGTATAAAATTTAATAATTTTTTATATAAGCTGAAGAAAAAGCCATTTATCTTTTTCCAACGATTATAATAACGATAAATTTGGATAAAATACCGGAGGGTTTTGAATGACGAATGATTTGAACATTGGAGGGAAAAAATTACTCTCGGTTAATCCGACCCAAAAAATTTATATTTTTTATTCGAAAAAAAAGTATTTAGGGCTTAAGGGCCGTATATTTTGTATACATATAATCTCATTTAATACGTTCTGCACAGTATATTCTTAACCTACGCACAAAATCAAATCGACTGGTGTACCAACATAATAACTTTGATATTTTATTCATGCATAAACAGAAGCATGAACTTATCCTATGGAAAAAAAACTGTCGACATGAAATAGGATAAACTCAGCTTTCCAACGTATAACGTCGATATTGATAAAATTGAAAGGAGTTATGAATTTTTAAGTGGAACACATTAATGCGTTCTCATCAGTGAGAAAAAATTGACCTCAGCGAATCCTGTCCCAAAATGAATAAATATTTATTGTTGTGAAAATTAATGGTGTGCTTTAAAGAATCGCCTTTGTATTCCTTAAAAAAGACCAATTTCTTGGTCTGCTTTCTTTGGTTTTGCAACTTTTTATTTATTTAATTTCTTTTAATGCAATACGACATATTATTTTTTACGTATGACAAATAGGAGACTTTAAATTATAAAAAAAGAAAAAATTTTCCCTTGGCTAATTTGGCGCAAAAATGTATTTTTTATTGATATAAAATTTTTTTGAACTGTTTAAAACGAAGCCTGTTTTTTGTAATTCTTCTTCTGGATCTCTCCCTCCCTCCCTCCCCTCACGCTCCTCTCTCTCTCTCTCTCTCTCTCTCTCTCTCTCTCTCTCTCTCTCTCTCTCTCAATCTCTCTCTCTTCCCTCTCTCTTTTCCCCATCTCCCTTCTCTCTCTCCCTCCTCTCTCTCCCTCTCCCTCCTCTCTCTCTCACACCCTCTCTCTCCCTCTCCCTTCTCTCTCTCTCTCTCTCTCTCTCTCTCTCTCTCTCTCCTCTCTCTCTCTCTCTCTCTCTCTCTTTTTTTTTAAATTTTATACATATACAGGGTGTTCGACTACTCGTATTAAAAACTTTACCAGTAGATTCTGCATTCAAAAATGAACCAAAAGTCTTAATTAACATTGGTACGAATCTCAACTGTTTAGGAGTTATTTCACTTTTTCTGATTTTTTTAAGATTTCACAACCTTGCGTCAAATAAACAATGATAACTCCGAAACTCAAAGGTTTTGGACAAATACGTGGATACCTATGAAAACTACGTTAAATGTCCAATAAGATGTGATCAATCTGGTAAACGTTCGTGAAATAAGTGTTTTAGTAGCTAGAAATTTGACAAAATTACTATGGTGATTTCCAAACCTAGAGACTAGCAAATTTCAGAAAACGTCCTCCATTTAATATCCGTTTTAGTGGTGAAATTTCTTTTTTAATTACTGTTTTCAAAGTTGAAGAAATTGGTGTAGAAATGGAAAAAAACTATGGCTGATGGATTGTGTATCCATTGAAAAAATCCACCCAGAAGGTGAAAAATTTTAAAAAACTAAAACAAAAAACTTAAGGTAATTTTGAATGAATTTATTACACGTTTTTTTAATTTGGGTTCGAAACCAAAATAGTACAAGTGTTTACTTATTTTCTAACACTGCAACTTTGATTAACGAATTACTGTATTATTATTCTCCGGAATAAAAGTGTTTTAAGATTCAAAATGTTTTGAGTTTTCTATGTGATATCAAAATTAAAATACGTTCAATAAACTCAATCAACATGTCCTTAAGTTTTTTATTTTTTATTATTATTAATCTTTCCACCTTACCAATCCCTCAATCACGGTTTTTTCTTTTCCTTCAATGTCTTCGTCTTAGAAAAAAGTAATTAAAAAAGCAATTGCACCACTAAAACGGATACTAAATGGAGTTGTTTTGCAAATTTGAAAAAATAAATAAATTTCGAAGTTCTCGCTACTCAAACGCTTATTTCTGGAACGTTTCCATGTTTAGTATTGATCACATCTTATTGGAAATTAAACGTAGTTTTCAATGGTATCAATGGATTTGTCGAAAACCTTTTAGTTTTGGAATTATCATTGTTTATTTGAAGGAAGGTCGTGAAATCTTAAAAAATTTGAAAAAGTGAAATAACTCCGTAACTGTTGAGATTAGGGCCATAGTTAGTTAGGACTTTTTGGTTCCATTTTGAATGTAGAAAGTACTGGCAAAGTTGCAAAGTTTGTAACACGAGTTACCGAACATCCTATATAATCTTATTTAATGACTTTTACACACTACTTGTCTATCCTAAAACTACAGTTCGACTGATGTAGAATACAATGTATTTACAATTTTTTGTGTGTCTTTTTGCCTTCTAATCGGTTAGATCGCCAGTTGTCTAAAAAATTTTTGACCTAGTAACCAAATTGAATGGAAATAATTCAACAATTATTTTTGTTTTACTTTAAATTTTAGAGAGAAAATGAGTATAAACAATCCAAATATTAACGTGTGTAAATGTGTGATGATTAGTGACCATTAATCGATATTTATTTAGAAATCGTGAGATGCGGTCTGGTGTGATGTAGGTTTCAAAAAAACATTTTCATTATCGTGCCAACGTTTCAACACGCAAGAATGACACAATTACACGGAAGACAAACACTTTGAGTGAGTAGAAATACTTTGATTGAATATATAAAATATATTTTGCATTGTATAAATTCACTTTTCCACATCCAAAATGTAATTGTAATTTGGAAACAATGTTTGTAAATCCCAGGCCCTGAAGATGATCTCAATAAAGATCGAAACATTGGCACGAAAAAGAAAATGTTTTTCTGAAACCTACATCACACCAGACCGTATCTATAGTCTTATCTATAGACTTCTATAGTCCACCCATTTAATTCGGAAACAACTACTTTAGCAAAAAATGACCTTATTCATGTAATTATTCAGAAATCGTGAGATGAGGTCTGTTGTGATGGAGGTTTCAGAAAAACATTTTTTTTATCGTGCCAACGTTTCGATCTATATTGAGATCATCTTCAGGGCTCAAAGTGTTGTCTTCTGTGTAATTGTGCCATTCTTGCGTGACGTGGCACTCTCAACACGACACGCAAGAATGGCACAATTACACAGAAGACAGACACTTTGAGCCCTGAAGATGATCTCAATAAAGATCGAAACGTTGGCACGAAAAAGAAAATGTTTTTCTGAAACCTACATCACACCAGACCGCATCTCACGATTTCTAAATAAATACCAAATCTTAACTTTTGTAAATCTGGAATTAAGCATAATTTAAAAATGGATTCTTTGAGATCAATCATCTTGGTCCATTTGTATTCGCTATTGTAAGATGTAAAATTTAATCAATTTTGGGTTGTGAAGTTAAGTTTCGCTTTGGTTTGTTCCTTCATTATGAATTCTGAACCTAAGGAAAGCTAGTTGATGATCATCACACTGACTGGTTGTATACGTTGTGTACTTTTAGGGTTGTTTCTTTTTGAAGATCCTTATGAAATATGAATGGAGCAGAGATGATGTGATCTATAACGTTTAATCGGTGCCCCATTATAAAGCAGATAAGCGTGATGAAGATATTTCATTCTGTTGCAATATTAATCATGTTATTTTTTGTAAACGTACTGCTTGAGAAAAAAATCCCTTCTCGAAATGGACACACATAAGGCAAACTTTCTAGCATTTTGAAATTCGCAAAAAATTAAGTTGTTTTATAAGATGTTTCTAATGGTTTCATTTATTTATTTTTCTTTTGCTCCAGGTTATTTCCGCATACTGCAGAGGTAGAAAGCACACGAAGCCGCTCTCTCACGTCGTTATGGATATGTATTCTCAGACGGTGGGCCATGTAAGTAATGCATATTTAAATTTAAACAAGAATTACGTCCCTGTCATCAAACAACCATGCATAGAATCATTTGCATTTAATATGAATGCCATTTTCAGAATGCAAACAAAATTATAATGCTACGAATAATTCGTTCTATATAAAATGAAAACTTTTTTTTTACAAATGCAACATGGTGGGAAGGGCCGGATCAATTGAACGGACAATTCCTCAATTAAACTGCTCTCTTACCGCTTTTCCTTACTCGATCTTTCCTTTTAAAGAAAGTACTTTCTGACGTCAGAGGTGAGCATAGAAGTGCTGTGTATTTGTCTTTAAGTTTATTGCTATGAGCCCTAAAGGAATCGGATGATCCGTTTGTTTGAGAACGTATTGCGGACTAAAAGGCTCCCTCACGAGCCCTGAGGATATTTTACGTAAGGTCTATTTGTTTTATACTTCAAAAAGTTGTATAAAACATGTACAACATAAAAACATAATTTGAGTCAAAGCTGTTTCATATTAGGCAATATTCGATAGCTTGTTCTTAACAAGTATTGGTTTTTTAATTGATTGTAAGTAGTTTTACTATAAAAAATGTAACGATCCAAGTATAATTTTGTATTAAAAACACTGCTTTTTTTAAATAGTTTAAATATATTAGTAATAGCTCCAAAGTCTTGATGTAGGTATCCTTGAAAGCTTGACCCCAAGATTCGCAGCCTTCTGGCTTATTGTATTTAATAGTTCCTTAGTTCAAGGCAATCTATTCGATCATTCTCTTCTTCAAGGAGTACTAGGTTATTAACTGTCATGGTCCCTTGGTTTTCTTTGTATCCCAGATTATATCTCCGGCTTCGCATTCGAAGGTAAGATGGGTGATAGTTTCTCCCTCCTCATTGCATAACCTACAAACGTGGTCATCATTGAATGTACCCATGTTATACAGGGTGTCCTTTTTAGATGGCCCGGCTGAATTTCTCTTGAACCAATGAACGCTATAAAAAAATACGTATTTAACATTTTTTAGTCTAGTTTCAAATTTTTACCTTTTGTTGGAAATTTATACAGAGTAACTCAGGCCTAGTTCATATTCAAAATTTCAAATACGACCCTATACATCCGGACACATTTTATAGGACGTTTTACGCTGATAAAAATGGTGCAATCGTATTTCAAATTGGTCAAGAAAAGACAAAGTTTGGCAAAAGGTTTGAATACTTTCCGTCACTCTCATTACATTTCTCCCAACGTGAAGCAGCACTTCACTCACTCTGAATAGAAGTTTTAGTCTTTATTATTAAGAAATTCTATAAACGAATTTTCTAATTAATTTTGATCAATAAATTTTTATTGTCGTAAAACATAGTTCAGTGTCTGAAAAAATGTCAGTCGGCAAGCGAGAGGTCTGGAGAATAAGGTGGGTGAGGCAGAAACCATTGCATAATATACAAACGTGGTCATCATTGAATGTACTCATGTTATTCAGGGTGTCCGTTTAGATGGCCCGGCTGAATTTCTCTTGAACCAATGGAATCTATTAAAAAAAAAAAAAAAAAAGTGTTTAATATTTTTTAGCCAAGTTTCAAATTTTTACCTTTTGTTGGAAAATTACACAGAGTAACTCAGGCCCAGTTCATATTCAAAATTTCAAACACGACCCTGTACATCCGGACACATTATATAGGATGTTTTACGCTGAAAATAATGGTGCAATCGTATTTCAAATTGGTCAAGAAAAGACAAAGTTTGGCAAAAAGTTTGAATACTTTCCATCACTCTCAGTACATTTGTCCCAACGTGAAGCAGCACTTCACTCACTCTGAATAGAAGTTTTAGTCTTTATTAGTAAGAAATTCTGTAAAAGAATTTTCTAATTACTTTTGATCAATAAATTTTTATTGTTACAAAACATAGTCCAGTGTCTGAAAAAATGTTAGTCGGCAAGCGAGAGGTCTGGAGAATAAGGTGGGTGAGGCAGAAACTCATAACTAAGATCCAACTGTTTCCGTGATGTCACATGTTAGACATGTGGCCGAGTGTTTTTTTTAACAGAATCGGCCTTTTCCGATTGACCAAAGATGGCTTTAGTAATATCAATTTCTGGTTCGTTGCTTCAGTTTGATTGCATTTCGGCATTGATTGTTTCGCCAGGAATCAAGAAGCTGTAGTAAATCAGCCTCCTCCAAAGAAGCCCTCTTAGGAGTCACCACCTTTTTTTTTGACAAATTGGGGTCTAGAAAATGACGTGCTGCTTCTCCTTCATCAAGCCAATGTCCAATGTCTGCTGTTTTCATAGGGAATCCACTTTTCATCACAAGTAACAATTCTATCCAGAAAAGATGCGTTTCTGTTTCGGCAAAGAAGTGTTGCGCAACTTCATTACGGTGATTTTTTTTCCAGTTCCAAACTCATTCGTACTCACGTTCATTCTTAAATACTTTCTCTCCTAATTAGGGTGGTGGAGTACTTGATAGTCCTGTATCACCCTTTACACATATACAACTAACTCAATTGAGGGTCGAGGGAGAACTAAATAATCCACCATCACCCCTCTCACATCTCACATTCACGCTAATAAATACAATCACTCTCAACACAAACAACTATTATTACTATATACATTACAGCAACCCCGTTTCCTCCAAGAGTTGAAACAGAGGAACCAAACACTCACTGCCGTGCTCAAGCAAAATTCTCAAATCAGGTGACCATTCATGCACATTCGTTGTATGGAGCTAAGGAGTTGCACCCTTGGCAACATATCGGACACATCGTGCAACCTTTCTCTGCTGGCTATTGTCCTTTGTCCCCATATACAACTCGACATTTATTTTATAATACTTCCAGCCAGTTTGGATGAAGACCCCATATATCGCACTCAGGGGCCTTTTGATATTAAAATACGCTCTTTCATTCTCAATACACATTGTCCAATGCTATGGCAACTTCTCTATACTTTCTGAATAAAATTTTGAGTGTAAGATTCAAAGATCCAACAGGTTTCCTATTGTCACATGCGAGACATGGACTGAGCGTTGTCGTTTAATTGTCCTTTTCCGATTGACCAAAGATAGCTTCACTAATGCTAATTTCTTGTGCATTGCTTTAATTTTACAGCAATACATTTTGGCATTGATTGTTTCACCAGGATTCAAGAAGTTGTAGTAAATCAGCCCAAATGAAGCCTACCAAAGAGTAACCATCACCTTTCTTTGCTGAGTTGGGGACTTTGGAATGTTGCTTATCCTTCCCTGCTGTTATCGTAGAGAATCCACTTTTCATCACAAGTAATAATTCTATCCAGAAAAGATTCGTTTCTGCAAAGTAATATGCTACCTTCATAATGATAATCTTGCTGTAGTTTAATGCATGAGGAATCCAACTTTTGAGCTTTTTCACATTTCCAATTCTCTTAAGCTTATCAGCGACAGCCGATTTGCTAACTGAAAGATTCTCCGGAAGTTCTCGAGCAGTTGTTATGAGATTTTCTTCGACCATTGCTCGCAGAATATCATCGTCTAGGGAAGAAATCCTTCCACGACCTGTTTTGTCGTCAAGGTGAAAATCGCCGTTTTGGAATTTTTTAAACCATTTCTGAACAGTGCTCTCACTTACACTGCCACCGCCACAGACTTCATTGATGTTTCTGGCCGTTACGCGAAAATTACACGAGTTGACATCTTAATAAAGACTGAATTATTTCCAAGTAACGAAATTCTACTGAGGTAAACAAACATTTTTTGGAAGAGGATTAAAAATTTTGGCATTCATACAAAAGAATAATCCATCAAATAGTTTAATATATAGAGGGGTAATTGAAAGAAAACATGAAAAGCTGTATTATTTTCCGGACCACCCAATAACTACCGATTTGTACCAGTCAAGGCGTTGTTCAAAGACTGACAAAAATAAAACACTATCTTTAATAGGTAAAATAGCAATCGTACGAATGCAATCCAATTTTCCGATTAAGCAGTAAAAGCATTTATTAAAAACAAAGTCAAATTCACGTATTAGACAGACACAATTGAAATCCTTCGATGGAACCTATTTTTTTAATCCAGTATGGTTAATTATTTTCTTGTCGGCATAAACAAAAACAATATTACTGTAGTAAAGCCTTCCTATTAACAGTAATCCTTTAAACTACTGACTTCTCATTTACTACCTGACAACCTACCAAGAATTTGAAGCTACGGTGGTCAAGAAGCTTATTTTGTCTGTACTGGTATTCTTTTTGTTAATAAACTACCCTAAACCGTGAGCGGCTACCCCACGGGTTTTTCATTTTTAATTTTGTTTAGCGAAATTACCGAGTTTGTTGCTGACGAACGCTTTACAATCGAATATTCAGAGATGTTTTCAAATAATGCAAAACTGATGTGTTACGGGTGTAAATTTGTAGACTTATTTTCTGAGTAAAATTGTGATGAAGGAAATGCCCTTTTTCTCTTTATAAAGATTCCGAGTTGGGTTTGTTATATCCACTGTGGATTAAATGGGGCCGAATCTTATTTACTTAATTAGAAGAAATCACTGTTAAATATTACGAGCAAGTCGATTTATTTAATTTCCAGCTTCGACTTTGTTCATTAAACGAAAAAGGGGGTTGGATGTAAAAGGGTTGATTTGTTCTCCGACTTCTCAAGTGAAAACATTTCCGTTTCTGCAGAAATATAATCACGAACTTGAAAACAACAATATGAAAGGACTGACCCGCAAGAGTTTACTTTCCTTCAAAGAATTATCATGTGATAATTTCACTGTTTATAATTTTTCAGATTTAACTGAGAAATAAACGTTTACATTTTTTATACTACCCAATCATCTAGTGCTGTGGTTGCATAGTTTATAGATGGAATCAATATTGAGAACATTATGAATAGAGTGAGCCATAATCCAGCATCACCATCATAATCCAACATCTTCAATCAAATAATGATGATTGGTTTCTATCCCTCTCATTGTAAAAACTCTAAAGTTTAACTCATTTTAAAACCAGGCAAGTCCCCTTACGATTCAAATAGTTACACATCTATTAGACTACTTAACTCTGTTAGCAAGATATTCGAGCGTGTAATGCTCACCAGCATAGCTGCTGCTTTCCTATATGAAAACAGCATTTTGCCGAGCAGTTTGGTTTTAGGCCAAGGCTATCTACCACTCTGCCAGGATAGTAGATGACATAATGCTAACATTTAATGTTCGAAATCATACTGGCATGGTTTTGATAGCTGTCCAAAAAGCCTTTGACATTGTTTGGCATAATGATTTAGTCAGGATGATGGAATATAGCTTCCCTCCCTACATAATAAAAATACTCCAATCTCCTATTCAGACAATTCCTAGTAAATTTTTGATCATCAATTTCCCAACCGAGATTGGGATACAACACCGTTTGTGTTCTTCAAGGCTTTACCCTTGGACCCATACTGTTTCTTGTATATTTTAACAAAATATCCAGAAGCAATGGCTTTCAGCAAGCATAGACCTTTGCTTTATAAAAAGATTCTATTTGAAAGTGTAACTTTGTCATGGACTGGACTAAGTCTTGGAGTGATATTAGAACGTAAACTTATTTTCACTCCCCATGTTGGTGATAAAGTGAACAAGGTTAAAACGGCTAACCATGTACTTTTCCCATCCGGTCTGTCGCCTGCCAATAAATTTTTCCTGTTCAAGGTGGTGGTCAGCCTGGTCCTGTATGTGTGACCCTCCTGGAGTCTCACATGCAGGACTAATGTCGCGAGGCTGCAGGTCATTCAGAACAAGTTTTTGAGGTTTGTTGCTTGTCACAGACTATAATACACGCATATCGGAACTGAGACACACACAATAAGACAAACACTTTGAAAGTTCATAATGCATCAGAGATGCAACCACTAAATTTTTCAAGCAATGTGAAGTTATTACAATCTGCTCCCAAATGGGCAATTATTGCTTGGATAGCAGGTACATGAACAGGAGAATAAAGAACGTTCTCATAACTTGGCCATGATAGCTGGGGTTTTTAATCTAATATTTTTCTCCCAATAGAAATAATGTCATGAAATAATAAAAATTTGGTTATAATTTAACAGTTGGAGAGAACTGTCACTAGTCTGCAACTCCATTAAACCATTGCATTATAATGTATATAAAAAAAGGCAAAAAGAGTGAAAATTAGAAAGGTTGTAGGTTGAGATGAGTAGGCATCTAAAGTCTGAATGGAATTAAAACAGACAGAGAAAATTACTCACTGTGTAATCTCAAAGTAATGTTATTCTTTAGTGGTTCCTTTCATTATTTTTTCCTTGGTCGGTTTGGTGTAGTTGTTAATTTCATTATTTAAAAAAAAGCATTTATAAATCATAAACATTGCTATTATCAATACGACAAAAGTCATGATTGATTTATTCTCAAGTCATATTTTGAATAATTAATTAATTTGCAAACCTACTGTTGGCCTGTGAGAATGAAATTCCAACTGGTTTCATCTATTAGAAATGATCATCGCAGAAAACATTAAATTAAATTAAAATAAATGTTTTCTGCTACAATTAATTAAGGTTTTTAGTTGAGACAAAAAAGTCAATGGCACGAGCGGGATTCGAACCCACGATCTTCGGCTGCATATGCCGCTGCTCTACACTTGAGCTATCGTGACCTCAATCCACTCGGACCCGAACTTTCTATCTCAACACCACCTTACCAAAAGGAGGGAAAATTCAAAAGGTGTGGTTGAGATGGGAAGTTAGTGTCTGAGTGGATCGAGGTCACAATAGCTCAAGTGGTAGAGCAGCGGCGTATCTAGCCGAAGATCGTGGGTTCGAATCCCGCTCGTGCCATTGACTTTTTTATCTCAACTAAAAACCTTAATTATTTGTACCAGAAAACATTTACTTTTCTATTTTGTTTTGTTTTTGTTTATTATATACTTTACCTAGAATTATTCACCATTTGAAATTATAATTTTTTTCCAGACAAATATCGATACCAAAACAAGCCCAAGGGTTAGCAATGGCCCATCTGCAAATGGCTCTGTTTTGTCCACTCCAAAATCCGAGAAAACGATTTCACCACAAGTTAAACCAAATCAGGATAATGAGTAAGTTCACTAGAAATATTTCTAAGAATAATGTTAATACTAATTATTATGAGGTAGTATTTTAGTATTTTGTGGCAATTTTTTTTTTTTTTTTGTTTCCCAAGTTCCTCTTCAATAATTTCTCACCCAGCTTATTTGCACTTAACCGTTTGAATAGCATCAAATCAAATTCAAATATTTGTTAGATTTGATTAATCCTAATAATACTCCTTGGTGAAATACTAAAACCCATCTAGTAGGGATACCAGGCAGATTCACCACTTTGCAGATTATTTCACAATTATTCAGATTTTCCGCCCAACTTAACTTTTATTTTTAGTGTTACCACTACATTCTACTCCAAGCCTATTAATGGGACAAAATACTGTGGGCCAAACACTTTCATCGGGCCGGAATTCATCATCAGGGCCTCAGACCCGACCGGATTAGTACATATCGGAGATATAAAGGTGAGCCATTAAAATTGATTTAGGATTTAATGCATATTAAAAAAAACATGCAACCATAAAAGCAAAATAATTAATTTATTAATTTAACGCATTTTTTGTAGGCTGCATCTAAGAGGAAAGTTCTTGTTGTACTTTTAAATGGGCAGATACTTGAAATAACATGTGATCCGTCTAAAACTACATTTGCTGATATTTTTCAGGTAAGAAATATAAATTTTCAAATTGAATTAGTTTAGATTCAAACTTACACAACATGCAAAACTTACTTGTTAGTTAATAAACAATTTTATTTTTCAAAAATTTAACTTTTGTAGATTGTGACTTCAAGGGAAGGCTTAGATCATAGTGTTACTCTTGGATTGGCCTGTCTGGTGTCCGATGACTTTGTCTTTCCCCCAGCTGAGTTTAAATTATCCAAAGTAGCCCCTGTAAATTGGTCAAAATCTAGATCTCAACCTCCCCCTTTTGTAGTATATCTTAGGTTTAGACTCTACCTGCCATCGTTGAGGGGATCTAGGTGAGAAACTTTACTTTAAAATGTCTATTATCGTCTATAGCTGATGTTTACTTATGTTTTGTTACAAGGTCATGGAAATGGAAGCATTTGCTTTATCTCCAGCTACGGAAAAGCCTTTTGGATCGACATCTCAGGGCAGAGAAACAACAACTCCTGACTTTGGCTGGGTTGGCTCTGCAGGCTGAATTCGGTGATTATTCACCATCGGTTTGTACTCATTTGATTAATTCACCATGCTTAAGCATTTTAAAATTATATTTATCTGCTGAATCATTCAACTCTATCTAGAACAATTAGCAAAGAAATGATTTTTTGGGGCTCTAGGGGGGGGGGATGTCAGCTAAGCCAATTCAGCACCCAATGCATGCAATTCCAAACCCATTTGTACTCACATTCATTCTTAAATACATTCACTCCTATTTACAAACCTCTCATTTAATTAGGGCAGTGGAGTACTTGATATTCCTCCATCACCCTTGATATATATTACACAATTACTAGGTATAACCCTTATATGTCTAAGCAGTCATTAATTATTTCAATTAATTTTCATCTCAACGAAAACCAGGTCTAACTTGTTTCAATAAGGTACACACTTGGGTTTGTTTCCTTCCAAACACAATTCATGGCAAATTTTGCTGACATTACTTTCTGTCGTAAAAACGAGGGAAAACCCAAAAGGTGGAGTTGAGATGGGACGTTAGTGTCCATGTGGATCGAGGTCACAATAGCTCAAGTGGTAGAACAGCGTATCTAGCCGAAGATCGTGGATTCGAATTCCGCTCGTGACACTGACTTTTTCATCTCAACGAAAAACCTTAATTAATTGAAATATATTAATTGATCAAGCGGACCACTAAAACTAGTGAATAAAGTAAAATCTTAATTTCTGTAGTCACAAAATATTTAGTTATAATTAGTAAATTCGCTAGTTTTGTGGTCCGCTTGACCAATTAATATCCTACAGTTAATTAAGGTTTTCAGTTGAGATAAAAAAGTCAATGGCACGAGCGGGATTCGAACCCACGATCTTCGGCTTGATACGCCGCTGCTCTACCACTTGAGCTATCGTGACCTTGATCCACTCGGTCACCAACCTCCCATCTCAACAACACCTTTTGAATTTTCCTTCCTTTTTGCCATTTTTCAAATGTCGTGTAATCAATTTGATTCTCGGCACCAAATGAAATGGCCACGGCGGCGTATCAAGCCGAAGATCGTGGGTTCGAATCCCGCTCGTGCCATTGACTTTTTTATCTCAACTGAAAACCTTAATTAATTGTAATATAATTAGTAACTTCATTTTTCCTGAAAATTTTGTTGTTTCAACATGATTTTACTTTCATCCATCAATTATATTAGTCTTTAATCATCAGGAAAAATGTACTTAATTTTTGATTTTTGATTTTCAACTTCGTTTTACTAATAATTTGTTTATATACATGGATTGTAGGCGAATGGCGATAAATATTTTCTTCTTGAGCACTACATGCCTGAGGGAGAAGGAACTGAGTTGGAGCTGGAGACTCTGCACAAACAGAGATCAGGTCTCGATCCTGGAAGAGCAGAAGAAATGTTTATATCTCTCGCCATGACCTTCACCGAGTATGGAACGCACTATTTGACATCTCATTTGGTGAACAAGGAAGGTTCTACGACTGAAATGTGGGTTGGAGTGAACTCCAAAGGGGTGATACTCTGTTACAAAAGAGACTTTACTATTAGCATGGTCAGAAAGAGCCACTACGTATTCAACTGGCCTGATATCAAAAAGCTGTCTTACTCTAAACATATCTTTGAAATTGTATCTGCCGATTCAAAATACAAGCTTAAATTGGATTCAAATAAGTAAGATATTTGATCAATCGTTTATTTTTTTATTTAATGAATAAAAAAATTTAATTGATGTTTAGGAGTTTATATTTATTTCGAATGGCATGGCTGCACCATAAATTTTTTATGAAGTTGACTAATGAGTACACCACGCTGCAAAGTCTTGCTGAAGGTGAGTTTTTTGAAATGTTAAATATATTGTACAGGCTGGATACAGGGTACTTCCGAGTAGCGACCTCGGCCCAATACTATACTCTGCGTGTGTTACTGATATCCCTGACACCACTGTCCTAGCATACACTGATGACACTGCTTATCCTCTCACTCTGACCCTGCCATAGCTCACTGAACTCTCCTACTCTTATATTCCATTGAACAATGCTTCAAAAACTGGTGAATCAAACTACACAAGTTCCAAAACAACATTTACCGTTTGTCGCATCACTCTACCTTCAATCTTTTATAACCTCACCCTCTTCCAACTGAAAGCATCGTCCGCTACCTAGGGCTGTATCTACACAAATAACACCTGGAATCCCCATACACAACTTAATAGGTTAGAATGAAACCAACGATTACTTAAAAGACTACTAGAAAACAGATCTGAACTCTCCCGCTTGAGACCATAATACTCATATATACTGCCGGACAAATTTAACGCACCACTCAATGTATTTAGTTTAAAATTAAATCCTTTATCTTTATACATTACTTACAGGCAATTTGGAACTATCGAAGTCAAAATAAACAGTAAATAATGGTTTATGTATTTCCTTTATTTAATTTTGTACTGATTAATTCCATTTGCACAAAATATAGCATATCCCCTTCCATTCTGCTTTGCCTAAAATCGCTTTCAGTTAATCTTTTTACTTTGTTTCATTTGATATTATTTTTATTCTTAACCTTTTTCAATGGCTCTAATCAAGCATTTGAGTGAGTATGACACTGTCGGGGTCATAATATTATTTATGTCAAAAAGTAAGATTTTTATACTTTGAAGAACCCCAAACTGTCCTGAACTAGATATTGAAAGAACAAACATCCCTTGGAATCCCCATGTCAGCAAAGTCAAGTACCTGGGAGTAAACTTTGACCAAAAGGTGACCTGGAATACCCATATAAACAAAAATGATAATGAAGGATATGTTCAACTGGGTTTACACCCTGATTAGAATTGGCTATTCTCTAACACAAGGAAGGGAATTAGGAGGCTGATAGGTATTCTGACGGGCCACTGCCCACTGAGAAGACACCTCTTTGTAATGGGTATCCTACCAGATCCCTTTGCGAAATAAAAGAAGAAACGGCAAGGCACTAACTTGCAGAGTGTGATAGGTATGCTAGGTCTAGGTTTGGAATCTTTGAAGGAGAGGACATCACCAAATTACTCCCCGAGATTAAATGGTCCAAAATCTTGGGGTTTGTGAACAGGTCCAAGAGGTTTATGGTTTATGGGTATGAGCTGGGGTGGAGACCATCCATAATGACCTAAATGTTCCTTTTTAAATTAAGTTGTAAAATCCAGCTACAAAAAATTCCACACTATCTTCCGATCTCACTCTTATCCCTATGTACATCAACTTTCCTCCTGATCTCTTTTCGATAATCCTTGACCTTTAAATAGACAGTGGTACCCCGACTCTCATAGGGTGCAAATTATTCATTAACTTTCAATTAATTAAGATTTTTAGTTCAGATAAAAAATCAGTGTCACAAGCGGGTTTCAAACCCATGATCTTCAGCTAGATACGCCGCTACTCTACCACTTGAGCTATCGTGACTTCGATCCACTCGGGCACTACCTTCCCGTCTCAACCCCACCTTTTGAATTTTGAAAAATGGCAAAAAAGAGGGAAAATTCAAAAAGTGAGGTTGAGATGGGAAGTTGGTGTCCGAGTGGATCGAAGTCACGATAGCTCAAGTGATGGAGCAGCGGCGAATCTAGCTGAAGATCGTGGGTTTGAATCCCGCTCGTGACATGTGACTTTTTTTATCTCAACTAAAAACCTTAGTGAATTGTAATGATTTAATTGGTCAAGCGGACCATGAAAACTAGTGAATTTAATAAGTTAAAATGAAGTATACTTCACTAAAGCTCTCAGTGGCCATTTCATTTGTCGCCAAGAATCAAATAGATTACACGACATTTGAAAAATTGCAAAAAGGAGGGAAAATTCGAGAGGTGAGGTTGAGATCGAAGTTAGCGTCCTCATCTGATATTAATTGGTCAAGCGGACCACGAAAACTAGTTAATTATTAATTAATGAAGTTTGATTTAGGAGTGCTATTATTGGATAACTTCTCGACCTCATTATATATGGAATATATTGTGCAAAGCTTTGCACAGGTTGTTGCTTTATAAATTACTCAATTTAAAAAAAAGTTAATTCAAAATGCAATTTTTTTGTCTAGAATTTGGCCAAAAAGGGAAAGAGTTGAGCAAAAGTGTGTTACATGTTTCTCCAGAGGGTAAGAGAACTGAACTGAGCGCGTTGAGAAGAGCAGCAAGCCTTTTAAGTCCGGATCGCGCCATATTCAGAGGCAAGACTACAGCTCATTGCGGGTAAATTGAAAGACAAATTTTCATAAATGCAAATCTACAATTTGACTGATTGTACACATTTGTTTGACCAGAAAGAGCAACAGGAGTGAAAGCTGCAGAGAAACTAGAGTATCGACACCACAATCAGGTCATACTCCACTGCTTAGAGGCTCTCCAATAAATTACAGAACACCCACCATGTCCCATGGTACTGAAAAATTAATATTTATTTATAGGATAAAATCACAGTTTGGACTCTTGATTTCTAGATGATCTGACATCAAGAGGTACTTGTGCGAGAAGAAGGGTGCTAATGGGAACTCGGGCAATTTATACAAGTTCTCACCATGATGTTCGAGCTGCTTCCCAACTGGAATTTGATCCTACTCCTTCACCACTTCCAGAAGCTTATGTTTTAAGTAAGCTGCTAGCACGTTATGCCATAGTAAATTAAAATTTCTTTATTAAATCAATTTGTTATTTGCAGACACTAATATTAAGTCCGATGATGATAAATGTATGACTGACTTTTATGAAACAATAAGTGAATCACTTGCAGAGAAGTTCAGTAAAGGAGAATTTATAAATGATAGAGTCATAACTACAGTCAGGTAGTTATTATTACCTATTTGTTCTATTTTTAATACAGATTGCCATAGTTTGTGATAAAACCTTTCGTATGAATCACTTATATCGTTTTTTTGTAAATTTGTATTTTAGAATTAATAGGGGTACTGATGGGAGCTTAGGTTTAAAAGTTGTTGAGGGCAGAGATGGCCATGCCTACATAATCTCAACAAAGAAGGGTACACCAGCTTATGAGTGCGGCTGGATTCACTCGGGAGACCAAATACAAGGTGTCGATGGGCACAACGTTCTGAATCTCCCTTACAAGCAGGTCCTCCAGAAAGTACTGAAAGCTGGGGATTCTGTCGAGCTTATTCTATCCCAGATAAACAACGGCCAGAGGACACCGCCAATCAGTAGTAATGCACCGTATGCCAATAAAGTCACCGACACGACAGGTCATTTTGAACTATTTTTTCTTTTATTTCAATATTATAATGTGTACATGTTTCTATAAATTAATTTTATTTTTCAGGCTTTGATTTGATGAGTGTGCTTCAGAAACCGATTGAAGAATCATATTTCAACGCAATAAGATATCAGACTGCGACTGAATCAGAGGAAAACATGATAATTACTGAATTGCCAAGGCCACTTTCTTATCTATAATTTTAAACTGGTATGAAAACTTAAAATAAAAAAAATTCAAAAAATTTACAATAAAACCCCCAGCTTTAATAGGGTCATGCTTCCATTATGCTTTTAATGTGATTAGGAATCTAATAGAACAAAACAAAAAATGTCTACACTCTTATTGCAGTAAATGCTGTTACAATTTTTTTAAACTTAAAAATTCCACATCTAAAAACAACACAATTACATACCATACAGAAATATATAAAGTTCACTTTGAATTTAGATCCATATTGGTCCTATCCGCAGATGTACGTACATACATACATACATGTGCCGAGTTGAGCCTGTTCTCTTCCCGTACAACACTGGCAATCCAGCTTTTGCTATTTACAATAAATTGCCAGTAAACTCGAGAATCACCCAACCTGGGTGTTGACAGTCTGGGAGACCTCAATCTTATCCATCCAGCCTCCAAAGTTGGTCAATTCAGCATCCAATGCATGCAGTTCCAAACCCATTCGTACTCATGTTCATTCTTTTTTTTTCTTTTTTTTGACAGAGGCATACGACAGCTTGGTCATTTCAGCCCCGAAGATTAGCAAAATATCGCGATCGATATTCCTCCATCTACCTGTTTTCTATAATAGACTACTCTAATTTGGGGTCGATGGGGTATTTTAAAAGTTTTCCACCGTAGACCCAAGTCACGCACGCAACATGAGGAGTGATCGAGATGCTACTTCACCATCAACCCTTCTCCATTCACACCAACATAAATTGATCACACTCATTCTGTTTGGTAGATGGAGTACTCGATATTCCTCCATCTACCTGTTCACTACAATAAACTCATCTAAATTGGGGTCGATGGGGTATTTTATAAAATTTCCGCTATCGGCTCAAGTCATACTCACAACCTGAGATGCGATGGAAAAGCTGCTTGGCCATCAGCCCCTCCCCATTCATACCAATAAATACATTCACTCATACAAGACACAGAAACACAAAACACATAACTTGACTTCTATATACAATAAAAAATTCCCAATTCCCTTAAAAAGCAGAATAGGCGATCCTGAAACTCGCTGCCGTGTCCAAGAACCCTCTTTAAATCTGGCGGTATGACTACTCGCGCCTTGAAGGGAGCCAAGGCACGACACGCTTCGACTATGTGGGACACATTAAGCAACCTTTCTCTGCATAACGGACACCTGCGGGGGGGGGGGATTGGCCCACCAGCAAGTGTCCATGTGTCAACCAAGTATGATCTATTCTTAATCTGGCAAGAACTAGTCCTTCTTTACGGCTCAGATCCTCGGGGGGCCATCTGCAGGTTGTGCACTTAACACGAAGGAGCCTCTCAGATGACCCTGCCCACTGACGCTGCCATTTATCCCCATCTTTTTTGCAGCTCGTGTTTAGCGTCAGAGAGCCTGATCGCGATGGTCCGGTTGGGAGGGTGAGACATTCCGGCTTTCGCCGCCATGTCTGCTCGTTCGTTACCCTCCAGGCCGATGTGTCCAGGTACCCAGACAACCACCATTTTTCCAAGGCGCACCAATTTGGCATTATTTCTAGCAAGAGCACGACCAGAGGGTCGACGGAGAATCCATCACACAGTGCCCAAACAGTGCTCAGAGAGTTGGTACACACGAGGAAGGCTGAACGCTCCTCGGTCCACACTGCCTCGAGTGCGTGCCAAATCGCGTACATTTCTGTCATGTATACGCTGCAGTGCGGAGGCAATGACCAAGACTTGGCCGCTCCCTTGCTATACACAGCACACGCCACACCATCATCGGTCCTCGACCCATCTGTAAAAATGAGACGAAAACCAGCCTATCTATTTTTAAGTTCATAAAACTTAGCTTTTTAGAGGTATGGCGGTGAACACGATTTGGGCAACTTCGACAGATCGTCACGGACGATTACGGCAGGAAGGTCCAGGGCAGTGTAAGTCTGTTACCCAGGCGACGCACCATCCCCAGGCCAGTCCAGCCCTCTCTAGGGCTTCACCGAAGCTAATCCCGAGGGGTCGCGTCCACGATCGAAGCGAGTCGTAGATTTCTCTGTACGGGCATTGAAGGGCCGCTCCAGCCAGAGGATGCCACGGCTTAGCCAAGAACCCAGCCGCATATCTGAGGGTGAGTCGTTCCCTCCACAGTTCGCGAGGCTACACCCCCAGCTCGCAGCTGAGGCTGGCCAAGGGGCTGGTCCTGAATGCTCTTGAGATTGCTCTCAGGCCCGGGTAATAGAGTCTACCGAGCCTTCTCAGTCGCGTTTTATGGGCCGAAGAATAGACCATACATCCATAAAAGATCCTCAAGCAGAACAGCGAGTCAAACATTTTTATTAGGGTCTCCCTATCCACTCCCCACCTAAAGTGACCAACAACTTCAACAGTGCGAGGGTTTTCTTACTCTTGACCTCAGTGGCGTCGATGTGTGGCCGCCATCTCAATTTCTCATCAAATAGGAGAACGAGGAACCTCACCGTCTCAATGTACCGTACGAGTACCCACTCAGACAGAGTTGAGGGGGACTATGCACCCTCCTCAGTCTGCAGAAGTGGACGCACACCGTTTTTGACATTGAGAAGGCAAATCCAGTTTCCTCGGCTCTCGCAGCCACTACGTCTCTTGCCGATTGCATCCTACTGCCGACCTCTGCCAGATCCTTACCTGAATGGTCATTGACAAAGAGCATTCTCCTTATCTGCGGAGGACGCCGTCAGCGATACTATTCACCGCAACCGAGAAAAGCACAACGCTCATCACAGAACCTTGAGGGATACCGTTCTCTTGGACGTAATCCCTAGAAAGAACGTTTCCCAGCCTGATTCAAAACCTATGGTTCTCCAGGAAACCCCGAATAAACCATGGCAATTTACCTCTTCAGTCCAAAATTGTGACATTTCCGAAGTATTGCGTATCTTCACGTAGTATTATATATTCGGCTACCTTCTCGAGGTCGAAAAACATGGCCGGAGCATGTTCTCTGTTCAGGAATGTGTCCTGAATGTCTCCCTCAAGAGCTGGCAAGCATGGTCTACCATCGAGCGATGCTTACAGAACCCCGCTTGGTACTGACTGTAAAATCCCTTTGTCTCTAGGTGCCAGGTCAGTTGACCGTTCACCATGGATTCCAGGATCTCACTCAAGCAGGTTGTCAACAAAATCGGTCTGTAACTCGTGGCCAGACTTGGGTCCCTACCTTTCTTGAGGATCGGTACAATGAGCGCTTCTTGCCAACAATCGGAGTACGAGCCTGAGTCCCATATGTTGTTGAATAATTCCAACAGTCGACACTTCGCACCATGGGGAAGGTGTTGAAGCATCTCATATGGGATACCGTCATACCCGGGGCTTCTGAATTCCGGGAGTGCCCAACACAGACTCCAGCTCCCCCATCGTCAGGGGCATGTTGTAGTGGTACTGTTCATCGGTTCCACCACTGAAATCAAGCCCAGTACGTTCCATCTCGGTTTTCCTGTGCCGGAAGCCCTCGGAATATGATTCAGAGCGCCAACTCCTCGGCAACATCCGAAGCCTCTGTCACACACCCCCAATCAGTAGTTAGTATCGGCTCCGACGGAGGTTTAAACCCGCCAGAGAGAGAGAGCTCTGACCTTGTCCCAGACCTCCCTGGTTGAAGTACGGTAGGTCATTTCCAACACATACTTCGCCAGGCTGTCCTTTTTTGCCTGGTTAAAGGTAAGTCTCTCTCCCTTACTCTTTTCATTTCAAAATCAGCCAGGTTCAGGCACGTCTACAACCATCACTCCACCAAAGAAACTCGGGGTCTACAAGAAGACGTCCTGGGGATCGCTCTGGATACGGCATTGTTGATCTCCCTCTCAAAGAGGAGGAGATCAGTGTCGACATTTCCCGTTAATTTGGGTACTGACACCATCGTGGAGAAAAGCTCCCAATCTGCATGCTTCAGATCCCACTTCTTGGGAGCACGATATATCCCTCTCGAGATGGAAGTCCTCAACACTATCGGGAAGTGGTCACTGTGATGGGGATCTCCCAATGGAGCCCACTCTACACGATTAGCCAGGGATAGTGAGGCTAAAGAAAGGTCGATTGCGCTAAGGTTACCTGTGCTAAAATCTATGTTCGTAGCAGCGCCTGTGTTTAGGAGGACCAGATTGGATTCACCAATTAGGTCCGCCATCTGTCTGCCTCTGTTGTCCTTTTTTTTTTTTTTTTTTTTTTTTTTTTTTTAAACTACTTCCAGTAAAATAAATTTTGCTGTTGCAGTTTTTGGCTTTTACAACTGATACCTTAAAATAGTAAAATAAGAGAACAATTGATTTTTTTACGTAATAAAGAAGTGGGGTGTGTTGTAAAGGTTTTGTACGGCTTCTTCACGTAGTCTTTTCTATTTATTGTTAAATCTTAAACAACTTGTTATTATGAGTGAGTTATTTTAAGTTAGTGAATGTTTTCTTGAAATAAAACTAATTTTTTGTTTTCAGTTGATGAAGAAAAATTAGTTCCTGTCCTAAAACCAAGAAAGAAAAGCAATTTTATAATGAAAACAAAAAAAGTGAATTTATACAATAGTGAAACATATGAAAAAAAGCTTTGTAGTGAGGGAAGTGATATACGCATTAAACCAAGTGCCATAGTACATAAAGATCATATTTCATTGAGCGATTGTTATAATTTTTCTTGTGCAAAATTTAATTTAAACGTTAACAACAGCTTCCCCATTAATAAAACACCATCAGATAATAATGTTGTGCCTAACCAATGGGAATCAACCGTTTGTAATGATGAAACCAAAAATATGTGCATGGGTGAAGAAGCAGTAGATTTAGATTTAGGAGGAAGCTTTACCAATAGTTTTTTAAAGTCTAGTGATAGCCTCGACAATAAATGTATTATAAATGAAGAAGACTCTTTTGGAGATGTTATGGATGGATTTGAGGCAAACACCGTCTCAAGGAACAAAGACTATTTGCTGTCAAAAAATAGCAAAGTACAAAGATACAAAAGCATGAAGGATTATATGCATTCCATGCTTTTATCTGAAATCGGCTCTGCAAGGTTTAATTTTTCTGTTGACGGAAGTGAAGACGATGTAAATACAGTAGGGTACAAATCCTTCGTGGGTTATTATAGTGAATATTTTGGTGTAAATAAATCTTTGTATAATAACAGTGTAATTGGTGCCAAGGGACAGAAAAAGCCTGAGGATGTATATAGAGCTGAGAGGTGCATCACAAACGATGAAGGCAGGGAAAGCTTCATCAAGAAGATTGGCGTAAGCCGTTTGATTGACTATTTTGAATCCACACATGAAGATAACAATGAGTCTTTGGCCAAGTCTCATTTTAACAAACAAATGGAAATTTTTAAGGAAGTTGACGATGTGAGAAAAAGGGAGACACTATTTCAAAACTTTGAAATTTTACATTTAAATTCAAGAAATGATGTCAGCCCGTTTGAAGAAGAAGATAATATCATTCCACCTCCAATCGCATTTCAATCCTGCAGTTCACCGCATACAAAACAAGGTAGATATTTTTTTTTGTCTTTAGTTTCATTGCCCCATACCAATTACCTTATGTTTAAATAAATTTAAGGCCCTAAGGATGGGATATTCTGAAAGTTTGAGGGTCACTTTTCTCTTTATCATTTCTTAGCTTTTCTTCATTAATGGACGTTTTCTAATTAATTTTTTTTTGTGCCTGCAGGATACAATGCTAAACCTAAATCGTTCAGTGATGTGAGTACAAATTGTTTTGTTTTTGTTATAGATAATAAATTGAAATTTTATTTTCAGACTGGAGGGAATAACTTCAAAATCCAATTTTCCACAAGATGTAAAACAGGTACTTTTTTTAAGGGATACTATTGACACCGTACACTGTATTAGCTTTCAGCACTTTTCAATATCCTTTAGCTTCCCAAAATTAAATTCCAGTAACAAACATCCTGTTGTTTTCTAGTGTCAAGTGTAATTATTTGGACCATCGGATTCAATTTAGAATGAAGCAGTGCAGATTGGAAATTATTTTTTCACGATGGAGGCTTTAATCTCAAGATTTATTTTTCTTTATGAAATTGAAAACTGAAAAGTGTAACGTATTCAAAAGACAAAATGAAAATCGATGAAACAATTAGTCATTTTTTGTGTGATGTGAATTTTTGTACCAGTTTTTTAATTATTGTGAAAATTTCTATAAGTGATGAAGAGCCTAAAACATTTAATAAAATTACCATGTTTGTATTATTTGTGATAAGAACTAAAAGAAAAACTAAATATACATATTCAAATAAGAAATGCTTTAATTAAAAAACTTGGGTATATATAGAATTTTGATATATTGGTTGTTATTCCTATCAATTAAGGAGATGTATATTTAATTACATATTTTGAAGGGTTGTAGTTATCAGAAACAGATTAAATGTAGATTAAATTACTTATTTTTTGTATGTGAGTAACATAATTTTTAGTCAATGTAATTTATGTCTGCCTTGCTAGTTGATTTTTATTTTTAGCACATATTTACATATACATGCTTTGTGTATATTACCTATTTGATTTTGAAAGAATATTTTAGTAAAAATTTAGTCTTTAAAAACGAAATGTTACTGCTTCGGAAAGAGTAATCATTGATTCTAATATTTGTATGAAGATGCATTTATTAAGATATAAATATATATATACACACATACATATATAATCGTAAGTGAAAATAGGTTTAAAAATGAAGAATTACTGTAAAAGAATTTATAAAATAATATAAAGACTGCACTAATGATGGATAATACAGTAGAAGAATATGATGTGTTTAGGAGTTATTTTATAGTTTAAACAATAAAAAGATGAAATATTAATTACAAAAAAATAGAAAGTAGGGCATTATAAACATATTATGATGAAGAAATAAAATATGTTGTCAACATTAATTTATAGCATTTATTTATGAACCATTGATCCTTAAAAAATAATAAAGAGATGTATTCAGATATCAAGAGCACTTTTGATAAGTGGCATTTGGAGGATCTCGCTCTTAGAAGAAATGTCATCCTCACCCTATTAAAGATAAGTTATGCGAGGTTAGGCCAAGGACACTTACTTTTTGGTCAAAGCATGTGTATGCGTCCAGCATCTAGAAAAAGGGTGTGTCCCACTTAATTTAAGGGTGTAATTCTTTGGCTCCATATAGAGAGCTTGTAGGAATGCAACCCAATATGAGAATCATGCTTGAACCTGGCAGCGAATATATGAGTCACCTGTTTCAATTTTTGGATGAAATAGGGTTGTTTTATTGTATATAGTGCTGATATTGTTGAGTAACCTAGTTGACTCTATCGCTTGACTTGGTACATCTATTCTAGGTCGTACATTCCTCAGTGAAGAATGCGTGAGGCCGAAATGTATATGGGTGTAACATAAACCAGAGTCTGTAGACGGACCCAGTAAAATGATGTTTTCAAAATGTGAATTCTCTATTCTTGAATTATCAGTTGAGCCTGTCCAGTTAACTCTGTGAACGAGGTGGTCGAGATTCTGTCATTTTGATGTGAAACTTACTTATTTGAGATGAGTATTGGATAACTGGTGATAATGCAATGGATGCCGCCTTTGGCTTAAGACGATCCCCCACTTTGGTGTCAGTTAGACTCCAGCGAGCATGCATTCCGCCCTGAGCTTTTCATCCTCTTTCCCTGAAAAAGGCAGTTGTTAGGATGGTATAATATATTCTGAAAGTTTGAGGGTCAATTTTCTCTTTACCATTTCTTAGCTTTTCTTCATTATTGGACGTTTTCTAATTAATTTTTTGTATGCAAGCTTATATGAGAATCATGCTTGAACATGGCAACATATATATGGGTCACAGTTATCAGAATCAGATTAAATGTAGATTAAATTACTTATTTTTTGTTTGTGAGTAACCTAATTACTGGAAGTACTTATTGTACTTTATTCCTGGCTCCATTTTTTAGAAGGTCACACACGCGTGTGAATTGACCCCCCCCCTCCAGTATGCCAGTGTTCTTCCATCGAGAAACTCATTTTTGAAGGGGGTTGGGACCAAATTCAGAATCGCTGAGATTTGATCCCGCCCAAGACCTTCCATTGATAAGTGCCATGTCAATTTCTTTCAATTGCAGCCACCTGTACCTTAGATGTCAGAAAAAAAAGTCTAGAGGCGATGATGGGGATCGAACCCACGACTACAGGATTAGTAGCCGAGAGTCTGACGCCTTAACCACTCAGCTACCACAGCCCTCAAACTTACACTTACTTTAACTCTACTTGATGTGTCCGGCATGTAGAGAAAGTTTGCTTGATTTGTATAAGAAGCGTGGAGTAATGCCATCCATTATAAGAATCGTGCTTTTAGAGTAAACAGGGCCGTTTTACTGTATATTGTACTTATAGATTGATAGACCTTGTCTTGTGTTTCTAAGAGTATTACAAAATGAATTTATTAGCGTGAATGTGTAGGGTGAGAGGTCTGATGATGGTATATTGAGTACCTCATCGACCCTCAATTAAATTAGTTATCATATGAGTACAGGGTAGTCATAAAGCCTATGGTATTCAACTATGGGTTGTACCAAACACAGCAATATCAAAATCATACAAACACTCCAAAATAAAATCTTATGTAACATGGTCAATGCACTTTGGTACATAAGGAATAAGGACTTACATAGGGATCTTAAGATCCCTGAAGTCATGGCGGAAATACAACGATTTGCCACCAAACACCAGGCTCGCCTCAGCCAGCACGAGAATGTGGAAGCGACAAAACTCTTACATAACCGAAACATGGTCAGAAGATTAAAAAGAACAAAGCCATATGAACTTGTGTGGTTAAAAGTGAATTGTGAATAGTGAAATGTAAATCTTATTGTACCAATGGGTTTATAAGAGTGTAAACATTTATTTATTATATAATATTATTGTAAAATTAATGGTTGGTATAATAAGACCAGTTTTAATAAAAACATTTAATTAAAAAAAAAAAAAAAAAAAGAGTACAGGGTGATTGAGAAATACCAAGTGCTAAATAATCATGATTTTCATTATCTTATTACTAAGATTTGTCCTTCGTTGTCAGTGAATGTGTCTGGTATTGGAATCATTGTTGTCTCAGGGTCTAGTTAATTGCCTCATTAGAAATAGTAAGCGTTGTCAGTTGGATAACGAGTGCACTGCCACTTGGCTCTTGCATGTTTCTCTACAATGATAGTCTGCATGTACAGTGGTCTGTCGTGTTGGTTATGTAGGTCTGATTCATATTTTGTCGACTCCAGGATGGTTTTTGTAAAGTTTCAGTGAAAAACAGCTTTGCCTACGTTGTTAGGCGTTTTCAGTGGTGTCACATTTTCGAATCTGTTAACCATCTTCATACAGTTCAATTATTAAAATTTTTCTCCTCTTCAAATTGGATCCCAAAAAGTGTTTCCAACAACTGTAAACTTTTTCCTGTGTTTTTTCTGTAAAAAAAAAAAAAAATGAAAAACGGTCATTTTTATTGACACACCCCTATAGTAATGACAGGTATTAATAAAACCTTGCTGGTGTCACTTTATACGGGAT